AAGTCTCAATACCAGCGCCAAGCTACGGTTTACTAAGCTACATGATGGAGATCTAACGTTCACTGGAAGGACGGCAATACCCGCTAATAGAAAGAAAGCTTAAAAAAAAAAAGGGTTTCCTTCTATGGTGTTTACGTGATTCTGGTGGTGAACTGCATGAATTCCGACAATGATGTTCTACGCACGCCGAGCTGTCGACTAAAGGAGAAGACTGGCCGATCAGAAACGGCGCGTACCTGGCAATCCCTTCCGTCGGGACCGTTCACCTGGGCATGCACTGCAGGGCCGTGCCCCTCCTCCCTCCGACTGTGGGACAGATGCGGTGTGAACTTGAGCTCCCCCCCTCCCGCAACTTTCGTCCCTCATCACTCAAAATCTCTTTTGGCTCCCAGGTTTCTTCCCTTCTAATGTGTGGCTCCTGGACAATTGGCGACTCAAAAATCAAACCTGTTGAACAAAATGGTATACTGCTTCGTCCTGCAATTGACCGCATGAGCTCATCGCTATAGTGACGTGGAATTCGCGTTTTTGACGGCTCCTTACCTACAGCATCATCACCTTTCGCACATAAGTCTCCGCCATTATCCGCACAAGAAATGGAACCGGCACTCTCCACATTTCCCATATCGCGAAGCTCAGCGCTTTTCACTGTCAACGACGGCGCATACGTACCTTCCTCCCCTCAAACCAGCGGGCCGTTCGCCCAATTTCCAACACCTATGGTCATGCCACCACGATACTCAGCCTTCACGCGAATAACAGTGTCTTTGACTCCTTGCTAGAGGAATACCGCCTTTGTGTCGCTGCACGGGGAATGCCCACTACAACCCCTTGAAATTCTCTAGCCAGCAGTTCCTTTCACTTCGTATTTCGCCTCCACGGTACGGCAAGGACGAGTCCAGAAGATAGAGGACATTGGGTGATTTTCACGTTAGACATATACTCGCACTGGCTTGAAACCTCTTTTCTAAACCTTTCTCTTCATCAGTTGTATTATTGACCAGTTTTCGCGGCCTTTCGCACTCTTACCATGTCTACACCCGCTTCGCGCCGGCCCGACCGTGGTCAGTCTCGATCACCCCCACCCTCAATCGCCCGAAATGTCTCTACTCCTGTCTCGTTCAGCCAGGACCCATCCCCTATTACACCCAAATCCGAATACCTGCGGACTGCTTTGCTTGAGCGCAGAGTGAAGGGCTACACACCAGCAGCTACTCCCGAGCCGTCCACTTCTTCGCCCAAAGAACCGGTCGCACGACGGCGGTCGACTGTACCTACCCTATCTGTCACCTCATCCATGGAGAGCGTAGCGACCGATTCAACCGTATCTACCTATGACCCTTGGTTGGATAATGCTGCATTGGAACGAAGCGATTCGGAACGAACATCAACCTGGCAGCACCACAGAACGCCTTCGGGTGCGGGTCTCACACGTAGGCCTACCCAGCGAGGGGTGGAGTCCAAGCAAGATAAGCTCAAGCAGAACAATTTCGACATTGCGTTGAAGCTCGGCCTGGTCCAGGAGCAAAACACCAAATTGAAAAATGCCTTGGAAGAAGCTAGAAAACGGATCCAACAGCTGGAGCCACTTCAGGGGAAGGTGAAAGATCTGCGGGAAGAGAACGACCTTCTACAATTGAAGATTCGAGATATGGAGGAGGTTTTTGAATTGTTCGAGGACAAATACGGTGCTCTGAAAGATGCCTATGCCGAGCTCAAGGCAAAGAATAAAGAATTTCTGGCTATTAATCAAGAGATGATTGAGGAGTTGGAAAAGCGGGATGCGGGGTTGAATGAAGCCGCAGACCTACTCTTCCAATTTGAACAGGAGAATACAGCGCTCAAGGCGAGCCTATCCGCTATCCGTCCGCATGCCACCGACCCGTTCTACTACGGTGCTGATGCCGGCATAGACACTCCAACAAGACGGCCCAGACATGTCACCAGCAATGATGGTTCGCGGAAATCGACTAGCATCGCCGATTCCGACTATTACAGTCAGCAAGAGTCTCCCCCCGTTTGCCCTGAAGTGGATCTTAAGAGACAATCTTTAGGCGTGCATTCCGAACGGGTCCAGAGTCTGGTCGACAGGACGCTAGAGAGTCGAAACTCGGTCCACTCGCTCAGGAATCGACTATCGCAGGTATCATTCGGTACCGGAACAGAAAGGTCGGAGACTCCACCTCATCCAATGCCTGAAATTCCCGAGTCAACCGGAAGGGCCGAACGAGGAAACCGGACACATGCTGTCCCCAAAAGAAACTCTAACGGCCGTCTCATTATTACTCCTGACATGAGAGACCCCTTAGCCCCACGTAACAAGCCCTCGGTAGACGGTCTTCGAGGTTTGTATGAGAGCGGGAAGCCCATCTCATCAAAGTCCCGCCCTCCACCAACACTCGACTTCAAGAGCCGAGCAGAGGCTATGGGAAAAGTACTCCCAGAAGTCGATTTGGATCCCCGTCCTTATGTGGATTCACCACCATATTTGAGCAGCAGGTCGACCACCACCGACCATAGTTCGACTTCGTACCAACGGGCGAATCCCAGTAAGGAAACTCTGGTGTCTGAGAATGAATCCACGTGGGATAACCCTGCTCACCTTCCTGTCGTGAGCGATGACGATCTAACCCCTGAATCAGACGCTGATAATAAGTGGTGGAAGGACGTGGGCAAGCTTCCCGAGAGACGGTCTCATTTTCCGCCGACGAGTCCTTCTACGGTTGTTCCTACGGAAGAGCTTTCCGCACCAACTCTCGCACGGTCTCATCAGTCTCGACCGGCGGATATTTCTCTTGGCCACGATATGTTCAATGGCGCTGTAACTGAAGAGGAGTTTATGGAGCGCGCTAGGCAGCAATTTCCTCCTAGGCGTAGGTAAGTCATTCAAATGATAGTGTTGTTTTTATTTCGATGCATGTAGGCGTGCTTATGTTCTTTTTTTTTTTTGGCTTTTGCTTCGGTGTATATGGCAGTCGAGGCACGGTGTTTACGAAAAGGTCCATAAAGGGGGTGCTCTGCAAAGAGAAATGGGATATACCACGGAAAGGAGGTTCGGAGCGGATTTCACTTGGAAAATGTCTGATACCCAGGATGAGTGCTTCGTACTCGCAATAGCAGCGTTAGATCAAATATACATCAGTAACATGAGAGCAATTGACATTATGCAAGCTTTCTTTGAGCGACATCTCTACTTTACAACCCACACCATCAATAGCAGCCCCCTATGGTCCACCACGTGACTCCCCGCCCTCCCCGAAAGCTGCGATGTGGCACCTCCGCTCCCTCCACCTCCGCCGTCATCGCATCCTATTTCCTCCGACTCCCAACTACAACAATGCCAAAACAACACCCACGCACTCGACTACGATAACACTATGATATCCTCAGGCTTCGACAACGCGCCGATCTCGCGCTTCCTTGTCTTCTCGACCGTGCTCTCCGCGCTGCTCATCAGCATCACCGATACGAAGCCCTACTTGCCGTTGGCTGTAGTCCCGCACATTTGGCACTATGGCCAGTTTTGGAGGTGTCTGACGTGGTGGGTGGGCTTTACAAATTCAACCGAGGTGCTGTTTGCGGCGCTCGGGTTTTATGGGTTGAGGGTTGTGGAGAGGGTATGGGGGGGGCGGAAGTTTGGGGTATGTATTGTATAGCTGTGCTTATTTTATGGGATTGAATTCGCTATATAAGAGGGAAATTGGATTTGAATCGGATTTTTGGGTTTACGCTGACTTGATGTTTTGTTAGTCTTTTATTATTGCGACGCTGCCATATACTGTTCTACTGCCTCCCCTCCTCCTAATCTTCGTCCTCCGCCCTCTGTCTTTCAACCGCATAAACTACCTCCCCGCCGGTCCTACCACCATTCTCTTCGCGCTGTTAGCGCAGTACTACGCTGCCATCCCTTATACATACCGATACTCCATAACACCCGTCACCGCATCCCCTTCTTCCTCTTCTACCTCTTCATCCCCGCCTTCGAGTATGCCATCGTGGAATAAGACGTTGACCCTCACATCTAAATCCCTCTCCTACATCCCCTTCCTCCAACTTGCTCTCTCACAACTTCCTGGCTCCCTCATCGGCGCCCTCGTTGGATGGGCTGTGGGGACCGCGTATCGGCGCGATATGCTCCCCGGCGTGAGCTCGTGGCGGGTACCGGCGTGGATTGTGGGGGAGAAGGAACCGAGTGGCGATGCTGGATTTCAAGGGCTAATGCAAAGGCTGGATGCAGAGAGCGAGAGGGACGGGGGGTTGGCTAGTGGGATTTTGGCGAGAGAGGGAGTAGGGAATGGGGAGGGGGAGAGAAGGAGGAGAACGTTGGGGGAGTTGGTTGGACTGCAGTTCAGGGGGAGGGGCTAGATAGAGAAAGAGAGTGTAGGGGATCGATTGGAGAATAGAGAGAGTGTGATTGCTTTCCAGTGTATATTACACAAGTTTTGGATTAAGGGGCATAACGGGCATATATGGTGTTTTTAATTGGATTGTCAGTTTCACTCCCAAGGCAAGATCAGAGACAGACATTCTATCTGGCTTAACGTTTGCACCTACCGGTTTGGCGGAAGTCGTAACCTTATGATCCTGAGTATTATACACCTATTCTAACCTTTTTTCCGGTTTGCTACTTTTAGATATGTGTCCCCAAGATATCAAGAACGATTATTCTATAACTGTTACTTACATCCTTCTGACCCTTACCATACTACCAGATAGGAAAAATTCAACTGGACGGCACAAGAGAGATAAAGCGAGCAGACCAGATTACCTAGGTTTCCAGCACATCAATGCTGGACTCGACAATATAATAACCCTACACTCCGACACTCTATACAGGGCCAACATCTATATCTCTATCAAATTTCCCTGAGTAACCCCCACTATCCGAAACTGTTATTCCCCATTCTTACCATAATTCTCACCTACTTTGAGCCTCACTCGAGGAGCAAAAAGAGAACCTATCTCCAGGGGGTTATGTGGGCATAAAAGGAAAAAAAATTTGACTCGGCCGAGACTTGAACTCGGGACCTTCTGTGTGTTAGACAGATGTGATAACCAACTACACCACCCAGCCTGTTTTTATGAAGATAAAATTCAAATGTAAAATATTTAACTTATGTTAATTAAATAAATAGCGAGGGTCCAGGTGGGGGGTTCCACTTTGGCGTGTGAGCATGGGTTGTTGTTAGGGAATCTAGTGTATGTTTGTATAATATATTATAAAACTCTGAAGCGACTTCATACAACTAATCAAGATAATGGAGATTTTAATATAAGAAACAAGTTGGAGAAATATTTGTAGAAGAACGTTCGGTCTTATCAATTATATCTAAGCTAGCAAATTAAACGGAGTTGAAAGAAGGGCGAGAGTGATAGGAAGGGGTAAAGTACTT